CCCTCCAAAAGCCTTTTTGTAGATGGAGCGGTTAGTAAACAGGATACTTGCTCTTTTGATGAAAATAAACCTACACAAATAAAAACGTTTTCTCCCGTTGGCTTCAAATAATAATAATATAAAAAAAAACGTAACGTCCACGTCTCACAGACCTTGATACTTCACGTGGTTATTGTCACCATCTAGTGGTCAAATTATGACATTACAACACGACTTTTTTTTTCTTTTAAAGACATCTGATCAATTTTCCACAGATTTTGTTGATATGTAATAAATCTACTCATGGCAGTCAGCTTAGGTCACTGCAGATGAAACAAGGCCCATGTTTTATGTGGTTCCTGTTTGTCCTGCGATATAAAATGTGCATTTATGCTAAACTCAAAGCACAAGCCGCGCTGCTCCTCACAGGTTTCAGATAAGTATGAGCACTGACCTTGGGTAGCGTCTTGTCTCCTGCTCGAACACAGACAAACACAAGAAAGCTCACAACTCTGTTGACCACAGACATGGTAAATGGCCTGTATTTGTATAGCGCTTTACATCACTACACCTGTGAAGCTGGAGAGCAAGAGCCGGATCATTTTGACTGTGTGACAGAACCAGCAGGTCCCATCCTGCCTACAGGACGTACTTAAATCTACAGTCACAATCCAGTAGTTTTGCAGAACATGCCTTTCTTTTCTAGATTTATTTTTTAAGTCAATTCAGGGTTACACAGACTGCATGGCAGTCATGCTGTAAAGGCAAAGGCTAAGAGTAATTACATACTAACAATCAACAATCTGGCTCAGAGGAATTTACCAAGCAAAATGAAACATGTGAGTTTCTACACAAAGGTAAGAATTAGCCTCAGTGCTTTCATGAAAGGTTGCAAGAAGCTCAGACAACAGTGAATATCATGACCCACAGTGAAAGCTGGAACACTGTGTAATAAAACAGAATCCCACATAGCCGTATTATATTCAGTGCAGCAATTACCCTCTCGTCTTTTAACAACAGTCCATAAGAGACTTCTGGAAGTTTATTTATGACGTATTGCTGGCGTCAAATTTAAAATATGCAATTTTCCTGAT